GGCTGCATTGATTTTGGACTTGATTATACATATTGGACCACACCAGAAGATGATATGGTACCCCAAATCATCACAAGCTGTGGAAACTTCACACTGGACTTCAAGCAGCTTTGATCCTGTGGCTCTCCACTCTTCCTTTAGACTCTAGGACCTTGATTTCCAAAAGAAATGCAAAATTTACTTTCATCTGAAAAGGGGACTTTGGGCCACTTAGCAACTGTCCAGTTCTTTCTGTACTTAGCCCAGGTAAGACGCTTCTGACATTGTTGGGTGTTCAGGTGTGTCTTGACAATAGGAATTCGACCCTTGTAGCTCATTTCCTGGACACGACTGTGCATGGTGGCTCTGGATGCACTGGTTCCAGCCTCAGTTCACTGCTTGTGAATCTGCCCCACATTCTTGAATCTGCTTTTCTTGACCATCCTCTTAAGTCTGCAGTCATTCCTTTTGCTTGTACACCTTTTCTTACCTCACTTTTTGAGCTCTAAGCTGTTATCATAAAAGTTCTAACAAACAAAGGCTTGAAATATTGCAGTTTATCTGTACTCGAGTTTAGAATCTATATATTTTTCACTTTGTCTGATAAAATATTGAACTTTTTCCACCATATTGCAATTATATGAGATGCACTTTTATGCTAAAATGGCAAGTCAGAGACCTGGAGCTTTAAAAGCTGTGTCTTTTGAGACTGTTGATGGTCGTGGTGAGGTGGGATGAAGGACTTCACAGATGGTGTGAAGTTGAGTGTGTGTGACACTAAGTAGTATCTGAGTGTGACAGGATGCTCAGTGGACAGTTGTCTAGAGCACAGGGCTGTGAGATAATAGATTTTTACTGGTATTCATCAGTCTGATATCCAGTGATAAAATTTGCCTTTGTCTCAGCCTGAGGTGGTGTCATTGTGCCCTGCAGTCTGCCACAGGATTGTTAACAGGATTGCTGTGAATCAGGTGTGTACAGTGGAGTTACAGACTAGGTCCTTACAGGCTCTGTGATTGACGTTTAATTGTGTTTATAGTGAATGTGAAGGTCAGGAACAGCTGACCAACTGACAGATTGATGAGACAGCTTGCATTTGTTGCCAGCATCATCAACATAAAGGCTTCTCTAACTTCATCTTTCTCACCTCTAGACTGGTATATTTAGGTTGCCTATAAGCTGACGACACCTTTGGCTGAATTTTGAGCAATATGTCTATGTAAAGCATTTTATCATTTGTTTAATTTTTGATGTGCTTCTATGTATGAAAGTCAAATACTAGTGTCTGCCCAGGTTTGTTCGTAACAGGCCGTTAGTTCTTTTAAAAACAGTTGCTATTCAAATAAAGCACCTTGGTGTATCTATCCTCTGGTAAAACATATAATTATGTAATTAGCTTCTACCTTCATCCAGTGCTTCTACAAATCTTAGGCACGAATACAGTTTGTTTTTTCTTGGCTACTGCTTTCAAAAGTCTTTTATATTTCTTACATTCAATCCTAGGAAGGTTTAAACTTGTGTACTTCAGGTGCCTTGGAAATAATTTTTTTTAACCATTTTCTTTTTAGTCTCATTAAATAATTTCTCTTTTATGTTCTACTCTGCTTGAATTCCTGTTTCTGTATCAAAGCTGAAGTGCTATGCTCTTCATGCTTCTCACATTTTTGGCAACTTCAGCATTAGTACAGTGATGATTAAGTGTTGACTTACGATGCATCTTATTCAGTGTGCGAAGCATAGAACCGGACTACAGGCAGTACCATTTCAGAGATGAGCAGAAAGAAGTGCAGTTAAAACTTAATTTAATCAGCAATCAGATCTTACAAAATAATCCAAAACTGGAACATTCTGAATATTGCATTCAATAATTAGCCTGGCCAAATATCTATTGAACCCAAAATGTAATTTCTAAAAATAAGAAAAAATCAGAAAACCTTTCATAGTTATTTGGCAGGGTTCAATCATTATTAGGGCCTGATCACTACGGTGCACATGACCCGATTGGAATGCAAGGAATTATTCTCCACACATAACAATCCCATTTTTGAGGGCCTAAACATGCTCAAAAACTGTGAATATTTCCACACAGATCAGAACTGGCGCAAATTTCGATATTTTATGGGATTTGTGGATGTGTCTCAAAATGGCACCATAGCGCCCCCTACAAAATTTGTAGCAGCTACTAAGGGGCAGGACGTTTCACCTACATCTATGAAATTTGGTAGGCATGTGTAGCACATTAGGGTGAACATGTTTAACACTTTTATGTGTTATTATTAGCCGGTTGACCGTATTAACCCTTAAATGTGGTGACGTGAGCCTTAGATGTTAATGATGACTCATACCAAAAATTGTGAGTTTTCGTCAAACGTTGTGTCTGTGGAGGTCCTCTGAACTTTGATGCTTCGCCATGAAAGAGCAAGTGCTGTGTCCCTGCCCTCTGCATGCTGCACTCTGCCTCAGTCACAATCACAATCAGAATCCTTTCATTGTCATTATGCATATGCCTCCGTACACACAACAAAATTGCAGTTGGAGGTCCCGGTTTTAACCAAAAAAAAAAGAAAAATGGCATAAAAGTAGACTTTTAATAAAGTGTAAACACAAATACACTCAAATATAAATATAAACATTGTAATTACTCAAATATAAACGTTCTAAAAAGGTGTAAGCACAGTGCAGTGTGCAGGCTGAGTGAGGTAGTGGGTCACCTGTGTGCTTAGTATGCTGTCTGTATAGGACTGTGTGTGTGTGTGTGTGTGTGTGTGTGTGTTTCAGCGGGGGTGGGATGATGGTATGGGTGTCAGTGTCTGGAAGAGTCCTGGGCATGTCTGTCAGGAAGGAGGACATCGCTTTCACAGCTCTCAGGTGGAAACTGTCCTTAGTCTTTTAGTTGTAGCCCCTCAGACTTTACATGTTGGATGAGAGTCCTGCCTTGATGACATTCTCATGCCATTGTCAATTCACAGTCACAGTGCCACCTTCTGGAAACGGGAAAGGACACGTTTTACACTTGTATCTGCTATTATTAGCCGGTTGACCTTATTAACCTCAAATGCGGTTTGGGTTACAATTAGGTGATTGTCACTTTGCACAGAGTGTATTTCTGCCACAACCCCAATGTTCACTGCACCTCGAAGTGCTCCGTGTCTGACACGTTTGGAATTGTGCGGGCCTGTCCAACGCTGCTTGCAGCTTTAGTTTGCATTGCAACTTTAAATTTTCAGATATTTACAGCCAGTGCTGTCCCAAATGATTCTGCAACTTGTACCCTGATACTTTTGTTTAGTTTAGTTCATGAGATCCCCATTAGCTGCAGCAAATTCTTCCTTGAAATTGAAATTCTTCCCAATTCCTCCACATCTATTCTTCCTGGGGTCCAACAGAATTATATATACAAGAAAACAGAAAACATTATAAAAGCAAAGCAAAACAAAAGCCAAGTGAGCTTTACACTTTCTCACATCTTGACATACACATTAGCGATGTCATATAACCTTGTTTATTATCCTTTCATTATTATATTATATATATACATATACATATATATATATACACATGCACATACATACATAAATATATATATTCATATACATGTATATATATATACATATGACATACAGTATATAGCCACACTATATAATTTAGTGTACTATATATATATATATATATATAGTGATTCACTACTTTGATAGATGCGGTTTATTTTTTGAATTGATTTATGTTAGTGGTGGGTTTATTGTGTTTCGACAATGAATTCCATTCTTTCATATCTCTATACAGAACAGCGCGTTTGATGGCATTTGAGCTTGCTTTAGGCATTGTAAAGTTTCCTACAGTTGCATGCCTGGTGATGTATTTATGATTTTCTGTGAAAATAGAGGTTTTTTAACAAAATAAGAGGTGTTTTTAAAACAGATTTGTCTCTAATAGCAATAATCAGTGAGTATAACAGTGCCTTTGACCAATAACCAGTTGAGCTACTTGTGCATTGAGATGATATTTGTCCTGTGGTCACACTTGAGTATTGTGCGGGCAGCTTTATTTTGTATACGTTTTAGTTTGTTTAACATGTCCAGTGGCATTCAACCAAACTGTTAGGCAGTAATCGAATTGTGATAATATTAGTGATTAAATTGCTGTTTTCAAGATGTTTGGAGTCATTGAAGTTGCATGTCTCCTTAATTGATATGCCTCTACCCATCTTTGCAACCGTATTATTAAAAAAAATAAACAAAAAACCCTGAAGATTTTCAGTGTGGTAGCTTGCTAGTCTGGATGTTGTTATTGTTGCTGTGGTTTCCTGGAGTAAAGGGGATTTAAGAAACAAAAACATGTACATAAGGGAAGGGGAGGAGATAGCAACATAAAATAAGCAGAAGAAATAGCAGGCTTATACCTGCTGTTTACAACCAGGGAGTCAAACTAGACTCTAACTGACCAGCCATATTCCATTCTTGCTGGATCATGTTAGATTTACAGGTGACTAGGTGCAGGCCTTTATTCAAGTGGTTTTGAAAGCAATTGCAAACATTTTTAGGACCATTAGGTTGAAACTCAACTCAATCAACTTACTAAATAGTTATAGACCACTAAATTATGAAAACTGCTGGCATTATGTTGTTACACTGAAAATGCTACAGAAGTTGTAATAGAATTTCTAGCATACCTCTGAACATTATTCAAACTCTGTTAGCCTAATTGAACAGAACAGTCATTAATTTCCTAAAACTACTAGGAACTAGGAACATAAAATATCCAATGCTGTAATTCAATTTAGATATGAGGTAAACAACAACAGATCCAGTACTAACTTTCTGGCTTTCATGCACATGAAACCACTTGTTCCTGCCTGGACCTCACCTCACCATTGCACTTAGTAGCATCTGGTAACTGTCCAGGCTCAGCACTTTGTTAGGAGCAGGGGGAAGAATACATCTATCAGTGCCAATATTCATGGGACTTTTATCTAAGTTTTTTTTTTTTAGTTTGGTTGTTGGGACTTAACCTTCTCCTGATAGAAACTGGATGAATCTTCGGGATGCAGAGACCGGCAAAGTGCTGTGGCAAGGAACCGAGGATCTCTCTGTACCAGGAGTAGAACATGAAGGTACATTCACACATCAAACCTAAAATTGGACACGCATACACCGATGAGCTACAGTATTAAAACGCCTGACAAGTGAAGTGGACAACATTGTTTATGTTCTTGAAATGCAATGTTCTGCTGGGAAACCTTGGGTCCTGGCATTCATATGGATGGCACACACCACCCACCAAAAAAATGGTGCAGATCAAGCACATCGTCATCAGCAACTTCTATAAAAACTGCTCAGAAATGACTTGTGGTACATGACAAAAAGCTCAAGGGGTTGATCCAGCCTCCAAAGTCCCCAGATCTCAATCCAAATGAGCATACATGTGATTCACCAAAAAATGCCAATCTCATGGTCCGAGTCACCAAAGGACACTTTAAGAGGAACTGTATCCATGTAATGATGCTTCAGTGTTGTTATGGTGGCAAGAGGGTGAGGCAGGTGGTTGTATTGTTGTGGCTGATGAATGTGTAGTATGCAGGATAAAACAGAAGGGAGTACATCCGTCTGCAATGTACATGGAAAACTATATAAAATAATATCACCTCTCCAGTATGACATTTAATTAGTTAATTAGTAGCGTATTTCCACTTATGAACAATAAAAAAAACAAATACTTTGAAGAGTTTATTGAAAATGAAAATGCAGACTCAAACGTAAAATCTTGTGAAAGTGAAAACACCTGTGATCACTGACAGACCAGTTCGAAAACTTTTGATCATTCAAGGAAAATTCAGTATATTAATAAGTCTAATTGCATGAACATATCACTAACAATTTTTTCTGTTTTTCTGTTCACTTTAGCAGCCATGTCTGAGTGAGAAAATGGCTTAAACTAACATTACAGACTGTTGATGCAGTCTATAAATCACTTTTTTTTTTCCTTGCTTCACACTGCTGCAAAAATACATTTGTCACTAATTGGCTTCACTGCATGTTACTGCTGTAATGAAATTACTACAAATCACAGTTGAGGCAAGTACTTCAGTAAAAAATACTGATTCTCCAGTTCAGGAAAAGGTTGCTGTATGCAGTAATTACATGAAATTATGTGTAACAGCAATTTCTATAGAATTTATAATCTCCTATGTCTCTGATCAGGCATCTGACAAATAGACACTATTGTTGTTATTAAAGTCTTTCCCCTTCAGTGGTGTGAAAATTAGATGATAATTGGATGACTCAACACATCTTGAAACATTGAGACAGCTATTTTGCTTAAATTAATTATTGTTGTCATATTACAAACAGCAATAGTTGATAAAGTTCCCATTTAATTAATTAAAGACACAATTACATGAGTCATTTGGATGTAATGTTAAATATCTAGTGGCTTGTTTAATAGCACGTGAATGAATAGAACATTTGTCAAGCTAACATGATCTGCCAATGATTCTCTATTGTAAAGTTAAAACTAACTTGGTTTTGTTTTTAGCAGTTACTCATAGTTTCTTACTTTCATTTCAGCTCGTGTCCCAAAGAAGATCCTGAAATGCAAAGCTGTGTCCAGAGAACTGAATTTTTCTTCCTCTGAGAAACTGGAGAAGTTCAGGTTGGAGCAGAAAGTTTTCTTCAAAGGACAGTGTCTAGAAGGTAATCAGCAAAAACACTGACAAATCTGTCTGCATGGACAAGAGCTTGAGTGTTTTATTTGTTCTAATGTACATGGCCATTAATTCCACACTATTCCAATGAACATGTAAGAATAAACTAAAGCACACCAAGTCAGTGGCACAGGCTGCTGCTCGAGTGTTTCACCTACATTGGCAGTTTTGAAGATATATGTGTGGCACAGGGTTAAAGGGTGATTGACATGGTTTGTGCTGGCTGTATTGATATAGTAGTAGAGGTATCCATACTGATCCTGTGTTATGATGTCCTTTTCAATGCTTGTAGTGTCCCTAGCAGTGCTACACTAGTTGTCCAGTGACAGTTGCAGTGATATCCAGCTCTCTAATGTGGCTCCTTTTCCTCCCTTTTTAATGTAAAACAGTAATAGACATTTGAGTTTGTCACACTGCACAAAAGTATGTTATTAATCACCCAGCCAAATCTAAATCCATCCATCCATTATCTATACAACGCTTAATCCTCACTAGGGTCGCGGGGGGCTGGAGTCTATCCCAGCTGACTTAGGGTGAAGGCAGGGGACACTCTGGACAGGTCACCAGTCTATCACAGGGCTACACTTCGAGACAGACAACCAAGCACACTCACATTCACACCTACGGACAATTTAGAATCACCAATTAACCTCAACATGTTTTTGGAACTGTGGGAGGAAGCTGGAGAACCCGGAGAGAACCCACACTGCATGGGGAGAACATGCAAACTCCGTTGATCCTCTAGCTGCAAGGTGATAGTGCTAACCCTTGAGCCACCTTGCAACCATTCTTCAGCCTCTGCACTAGTGACAGCCATAGTTGGAAGCATTGTATTTTTGCGTTGCCCATCCCAAGGGAGTAGGTTTCCTTTTGACATTGGTAGGGAAACAAAAGTGCTCCAAGGCAGCACTTCTGAAAGTTGACGTCTTTTTTGTATTTGCAATCATAATTTTACATCATGTAGAGTTGATCAAACAAGCAAACAATCATAGTAATTCAGTAATTGACATGTTTATAATAGGCTGCAAGGTGGAGCAGTGGTTGCCAGTGTTGCCTGGCAGCAAGAAGGTCACTGGTTTGCGTCCCGGTGAGGACACTCGAGATCTTTCTGCGTGGAGTTTGCATGTTCTCCCCGTGCAGTGTGGGTTCTCTCCGGGTTCTCCGGCTTCCTCCCACAAGTCCAAAAACACGTTGAGGTGAATTGGTGATTCTAAATTGTCCGTAGGTGTGAATGTGAGTGTGCTTGGTTGTCTGTCTCTAAGTGTCGCCTGTGATAGACTGGTGACCTGTCCAGGGTGTTCCCTGTCTCTGCCCTAAGTCAACTGGAATAGGCTCCAGCCCTAGTGAAGATTAAGCGGTGTATAGATAACGGATGGATGGACATGTTTATAATGCATATCTGAATATCTAAAGAGAATACAAGAATTTAATGCATTCTGCAATGTTATAGGTTAAAGCAACTAATGAAAGACAAGCCTAATTACCAAACACACACACACACGCATGCAAACAGACACAAATACAAATGTAAATGTAAATGACACCACTGATTATAATCATAATATTCATGTTGATTTCCAGAAATAAATTTTCCAGTTGCCCTCCCGACTTACACTCGCGGTTGCAGATACATGCACTGCCTTCTGTCCTGTCCAATAGGTTGCGAGTAGCTTTTACAAGCAAATGGAGTGACAGCAGGTACGTTATCACATGTACGGTAGTGAGAAACTGGCAGAGCCAATCAGAGAGCGATATTTAGGTTAGAGGTGGGACTTCTAGCAGAGATCGACTGCTAACCCTTTGTGTGCCATAATCATTGACTAAAAACTACAGACAGCAGTTGTATTGATAGTGACTACACATTATTGGCTGGATATTTCTAGGGACGTGTCCCTAGCGTCCCTACCCAATTCTCCTCCCCTGGTCCATCCCATACTTCTATCTTATTTAACATTCAATGCAAACATATAGTGTCATACTTATTCATATACTCTTGTACACCGAGGACTTCATTAAGAATGATCACTAATACTAGGTAGGGTTCCCTTTTGCTCTCATATTCAGCCTCAAATATTGCAGTATGGATTTCACAACATATTGGAAACAGTCCTTTGAGATTGTGGTCTTTAATGACATCATCACAGAATTGTAACACGCATTTTCTGCAGATTTGTCAGCTGCACATTTCTTTTGTGAAATTTCTCTTTTACCACACCCCAAAGGTTCTCTAAAGGATGCAGGTCTGAGTCAAAGGTGGAACTTTTTGGAAACACGGGTCCTTAAAGCTATTACTGTATTCACAAGAAGCACATTATACCAACAGTGAAACATGGTGGTGGTGGTATGGGGATGGTTTGGGGCTGCTTCACTTCCACAGGACCTGGAAGACTTAATTGACTCATAATTGATGGAACAATGAATTCTGCTTTTATCAGAAAATCCTCCTGGAGTATATCTGCCTAACAGTTCATGACCTAAAGTTCATGCTCAAATAGGTTATGCAGCATGACAATGACCCAAAACACACAAGCAAGTCCACCTCTAAATGACTCAGAAAGAACAAAATTGAGGTTTTGGAGTGGCCGAGTCAAAGTCGGGACTTTAATCCAACTGAGATGCTGTGGCAAGACCTTAAAAGGGCAGTTCGCGCTCAAAAACCATCTAATGTGGCGGCTGTGGCTCAGGTGGTAGAGTGGATCGGTCGATGATCGGTAGGTCGGCAGTTCGATTTCGCCCTGTAACCTGCGCCATGGTCATTGTGTCCTTAGGCAAGACACTTCACCCACTTTGCCTGATGTGAATGCATATGAATGGATTGTTTGAGGTGGTGGTAGGAGGGGCCGTAGGTGCAGAATGGAAGCCACGCCTCTGTCAGTCTGTCCCTGGCTACAATTGTAGCTACCACCACTGGAATGAATGTGTGTGAATGATTAACTGACAGTGTAAAGTATCTTTGAGTGTCTAGAAAAGAACTATATAAATCCGATCAATTAGTATTATTATTATTATTATTATTATTATTATTATTATTATTATTATTATTATTATTATTATTATGATATGATAATGATAATAAAGAAAGATAAGCCTATATTAATCCCACGGTGGGGAAAATTTGCAGTGTTACAGCAGCAAAGACACTGCAAACATTTAAGGAATGAAGTATAAAAATTAAAAATGCACCAAAATATACATAGGCAGTAATTCTAAAAGTAACATTATTGCATGTATCCCTGACATTGCACATATTTCTGATAAATAGAAATACTGATACTGAGTATTAATATTGTGCAGATTGTCTATATTGCACAGATTAACACAGATTAACTACAGAACATATATTTTAGTATACAAAGAAAAATAGATATTGCACAGGGTTTTTAACATACAAAAATACTAATCATTCAAAGAATGTGTTGAGATTGTACCAAAGAGAAGTATGACAGTTTTTCGATTTACTGGCAGCAGTACTGGTTGTAAAGTTTAACAACCAGGAAGAAAGGACCTGCAGTATCTTCAATCACACACTGCGGGTGAAGCAGCCTGTCACTGAAGGAGCTGCCCAGTGTTGTTAAAGTCTCCTGCAGAGGGTGGAATGTGTTCCCCAACATAGCTGATAGCTTAGCTATCATCCCTCTGTCTCCCACCACCTCCCAGGACAGAGCTGGCCTTCTTTACCAGTTTGTTCAGTCTCTTCCTGTCTGCTGCAGAAATGCTGCTGCCCCAGCATTCAACTATATAGAAGATGGTTGATGCCATCACAGAGTCAAAAAAGGACCCCAGGAGCACTCCATACACTGCAAAAGATCTGAGTCTTCTCAGCAGATAGTCTGTTTTGTCCTTTTTTGTAAAGTGCATTGGTATTGTCCGCCCAGTCCAGTTTATTGTTCAGGTGAACACCTAGGTCCTTATAAGATGTTACTGTTGTAGGAAAATAGGTTACAAGAATCCGTTAACACTCAGATGCATTAGTTGCAGTCTCTGGGATTTTTATTGCCTTCTGGGGGAACCCACATCTGAACAGATAGATGCCAAATCCGAACCCTTCCTCTGGAACAAGAGTTTTGAAGTACAGGCAACGTCATGAAGACGAGGTCACCATGACTTGTTGTTTTGGTAACTACCAGATGGCTAGTTTCTCTGCAAACTATGTGTGAGTATGTATATTTTCTGTGCTTGTTTTGGTTACATTCCAACAGTATCATTTTACCTGATATGTGTGTGTCTGTGTGTGCATTGTATAAAATCATTTCATTGTGCAATATCCTGGTTTCTCAATCTCTCTTTAATTCACTGCAACATTCATCTGAAGTCCAGTGGACATTCCCTTCAACATCACCATCTCAACGTCCGTTCCCTGGATGTTCATTGGTGTTGACTGAGTGGGTTTTGACCTGCAGAAGTCCACCACCAGTTTTTTGGTTTTCCCAGCATTGATCTAGAAGTGGTTTTGCTGGCACCAAAATCCACAAAGCTCTGAGTAAGTTCTTTGTACTCCCTGTCATCCCCATCTGTGATGAGGTCGACAAGTACGGCTGCCACTTCTAAATGAATGTAGAGGAAACACTGGACCATTGGTTGAGTTGTACATGAAGTCTGTTGTATACGGGTTGAAAAGGAAAGGGGACAGGACTTTTCCTTACAGTGCCCCTTTACTGCAGACAACCACGTCGAATTGACAGTCCTGTAACCTCACATACTGTCAGGCAGTAGGGTGAGGTAGTTTATAATCCAAGCTGTGAGGTGGTGGTCCACCCTCGTGTGCTCCAACTTGTCCCTCAGAAGCACAGGCAGTATGGTACTGAAACGCTTGAGAAGTCAAAAAATAAGATTTTCATAGTGCTCCCAGCTTTCTCCAGATGAAAGAAGGATTTATTGAGGAGGTAGATGACAGCATCATCTACTCTAATAGCAGATTGATAGGCAAACTGTAGCAGGCCCATTGATAGACTCAACAGGGAGTCGAGATAGACAATGACCAGCCTCTCCAAGTTGAGTCTGATGGAGCAAAACAGTTGAAGAAAAGATTCAAGTCATTTTCCCACTCTTGTCTCCACCACACAGTGGTAAGGTTATTTGTGGCCAGAGATGATTTTCAGGTCTCTCCAAACCCCGCTGACATTGTTCTGCTGCTCCTCCATCCTCCTCCAATAACTTTTCTGTCCCTCTGTTATCCTCCACCTCAGCTCCCTCTGTGCAACCTTCAGCTCCTCTTGGTTGCCTGATTTAAAGGCCCTTCTCTTCTCCTTAAGAAGGGCCTTTATGTCCTGGGTAATCCTGGTTTTGTTATTGGAGAAACATCATGCAGTTGTGGTGGGTAGAAAAGTTTCCAAACAAAAGTTGATGTAGTCCATAACACAGTGAGAAAGACTGTTGATGTCCTCCTATGGCCATTACAGAGCACCTGCAACGCTGTTGTGTCAAAACAGTCCTTTAGAAGCTCATCAGCCTTATCAGACCATTTCTTCACGGTGCGGGTGACAGCTGGCTGCCTCTGTAAAAGAGGTTTGTACACAGGCTGGAGGTGCACCAGGTTGTGGTCTGATCTTCCCAGGGGAGGGAGAGATGATGAGTTGTATGCCTCCTTAGTGTTGGCATAAAACAGGTTGAAACTATTCTACAGAGAAGAGAACTGTGTTTTGTGGGTTAATTCTGTCTAATTTTAAAATTAGTTGAATGATTTGGAACATTCAAGTGTGAGAACATGCAAAAATAGAAGACATCAGGAAGGGATATTTAAGTTTGTATTGAAGTACATGTTAGCATTAAATGTTTAATAAGGTAGAATTATGGAATGGGCAACACAAAAATATAATGCCTCCAACTATGACTACAGCTATGTGTTTCAAATACCAGTCAGTTGGATGAATCACCTGACTATTTGTGGTGGTCCAAGGATGATACAGAATGGATACATAAAAAGTCACAGTATTGTTGTTCAGACAGTCTGTTCAGTACCTGTATAAGTAGAATGTGACGAATATGTCAGTGTAGTTTTTGTCACACTTCACTGGACATGCCTCCGTAAAATCTATGTAAAACAGTAATAGACGTTTGAGTCTGTCACACTGCACAAAAGTATGTTTTTAATCACCCAGCCAAATCTAAATCCATCCATCCATTATCTATACAACGCTTAATCCTCACAAGGGTTGCAGGGGGGCTGGAGTCTATCCCAGCTGACTTAGGGCGAAGGTAGAGGACACCCTGGACAGGTTGGAAGTCTATCACAGGGCTACACTTAGAGACAGACAACCAAGCACACTCACATTCACACCTACGGACAGTTTGGAATCATCAATTAAGCTCAACATGTTTTTGAACTGTATGGGAGGAAGCTGGAGAACCCAGAGAGAACCCACGCTGCACGGGGAGAACATGCAAACTCCACACAGAAAGATCCCGGGGTGTCCTCACCTGGACGCGAACCGGCAACCTTCTAGCTGCAAGGCCATGGTGCTAACCACCGAGCCAACTTGTTTAGAAAACTGTTGTGTTTTTACTTCTTTGCTGCTATGTTCAGTACTATATCACGGTCAGTCAGGTGAAGGTATCCGTTGCCTTATAACATCATCATATCTTCAACCTGCCGGCTCAAATTGCTATTAGTCATTGGAAGGACACCTGTGTTGGTAATAAATGAATGTTAGAGAAGAAAAGGAGGTTTGTCTTCAACGGACAGCTCATTGAGCTGTGACTGTTTGTACATTGCTGTTACTTCTCTGTTTCTCTGTGTTTGCAGCACCGTCCCTGGGGCCCTGCTTTACAGAGTTGAGGTTACAGGGAGCCCCAGGGGACCATACACAATCCACACCAACACAACATGTTTGTATGTTGGTGGGTTTCACCAGAGAAGAGAAAAGTCTCAGAAATATCATTTTCATCATTATGAGACATTGACACACTGAATAAACATTGGATCCATATAATGATGTGTGTTGTTAAAGCAGTGCTGAGCCCTTCTGTCTGTGTCTCTCTGTCCAGAATGGTTCTTCGAGTTTGGTTTTGTTATCCCCAACTCCACCAATACATGGCAGTCTCTGATAGAAGCAGCTCCCGAGTCCCAGATGATGCCAGCCAATGTTTTAACGTGAGTATCCAGTCATATGATACTCATTTCTGTTTTGTGTTTCTGTAATGTCATATTAAGAATGTTACATTTTTCATCTCTACAATTTATTGTTATACAACTGCACTTTGCTTTTCATTAAACCTAAGTACGGTGGCCCAGAAGTGTCACAACAAAACAAAAGCCACAACACAACCAAATTAACCACAACACTACAAAATTAGCCGCAACACAACACAACAGCTGCAACGGAAGTTGTTTTTTTAACCCGGAAGTTATACTGTGAGAGAAGTAAGTAAAATACTGATAGTAAATAATGTTTACTAATAGCGCATACCGAGACTAATGGACAGTATTTGCCATCAGTATTTTACTTACTTACGAGTTGTTTCCAACAATCTCCGGCTTCTGCCCACTTCGTGTGGTTGCGGACTTCACAGTATAACTTCTGGGTAAAAAAAACAACTTCCGTTGCAGCTGTTGTGTTGTGTTGCGGCTTATTTTGTAGTGTTGCGGCTAATTTCGTAGTGCTGTGGTTAATTTGGTTGTGGTGTGACTTTTGTTTTGTTGTGACACTTCTGGGCCACCGTACCTAAGACACCCAAACAAAACAACTTCATGTAATGTGCAATTCAGATATTTTACAACTTGTTTTTTTTTGGAGGAGGTGGGCTGTTTTTTTGTTTTGTCCATTAAAAAAAATCAATCCAAATACCATAGTTTTTACCAATTTAATAGCTGAGATCTGACAGCAGGGTGGCATTATCACAGTGAACTTAGAGTCAATCAGGTTGGAAACAGACCAACAGGTTAAAATAATTTCTTTGGAAGAGAAAACAAATTAACCAAGACCTCTGTTGTAAACACCAGAGTTGACAGACCACCTCCTGCTCCAACTTGGAGCTGCTGTACTTCTTGGAATCAAACCCAAGTTGTAATTAGCTGAAATGTCCTTTAACTTTACCTTCATTCTTGTAATCACAGCTTTACAAATTCATGGACTTCTATGCTGAACAAAAATATAAACGCAACACTTTTGTTTCTGCTCCCTTTTTTCATGAGCTGAACTCAAAGATCTAAGACTTTTTTCTATGTACACAAAAGCCTATTTCTCTCAAATATGGTTCACAAGTTTGTCTAAATCTGTGTTAGTGAGCACTTCTCCTTTGTCGAGATAATCCATCCACCTCACAGGTGTGGCATATCAAGATGCTGATTAGACAGCGTGATTATTGCACAGGTTTGCCTTAGGTTGGCCACAATAAAAGGCCACTGTAAAATGTGAAGTTTCACTGTATTGGGGGGGTCCAGGGGGCATCAGAAAACCAGTCATTATCTGGCGTGACCACCATTTGCCTCATGCAGTGCAACACATCTCCTTTGCATAGAGTTGATCAGGTTGTTGATTGTGGCCTGTGGAATGTTGGTCCACTCCGTTTCAATGACTGTGCGAAGTTGCTGGATCTTGGCAGGAATGCATGAATGCACAGCAATGGGCCTCAGGATCTCTTCACGCTATCTCTGTGCGTTTAAAATGCCATCAAAAAAATGCACCAGTGTTCGTTGTCCAAAACATATGCCTGCCCATACCCTAACCCCACCGCCACCATGGGCCACTCGATTCACAACGTTGACATGAGCAAACCGCTCAGCCACACGACACCATACACGCTGTCTGTCATCTGCCCTGTACAGTGAAAACCAGGATTAATCTGTGAAGAGAACACCTCTCCAAAGTGCCAGACACCATCGAATGTGAGCATTTGCCCACTCAAGTCGGTTGCGACGACCAACTGCAGTCAGGTCGAGACCCCAATGAGGACGACAAGCATGCAGATGAGCTTCCTTGAGACGGTTTCTGAGAGTGTGTGCAGAAATTCTTTGGTTATACAAACCGATTGTTGCAGCAGCTGTCTGGGTGGCTGATCTCAGACAGTCCTGGAGGTAAAGATGCTGGATGTGGAGGTCCTAGGCTGGTGTGGTCTGCGTTGCGAGGCCAGTTGGATGTACTGCCAAATTCTCTGAAACGTCTTTGGAGACGCCTTATGGTAGACAAATGAACATTCAATGCAAGGGCGACAGCTCTGGTGGACATTCCTGGAGTCAGCATGCCAGTTGCACACTCCCTCAAAACTTGCGACATCTGTGGCATTGTGCTGTGTGATAAAACTGCACATTTTACAGTGGCCTGTTATTGTGGCCAGCCTAAGGCACTCTTGTGCAATAATCACGCTGTCTAATCAGCATCTTGATTTGCCACACTTGAGAGGTGGATGGATTATCTCAGCAAAGGAGAAGTGCTCACTATCACAGATCTAGACAAATTTGTGAACAGCATTTGAGAGGAATAGGCTTTTTGTGTACATAGAAAAAGTCTCAGATCTTTGCGTTCGGCTCAAGAAAAAAGGGAGCAAAAACAAAAGTGTTGCGTTTATATTTTTGTTCAGTGTAGTTATGTTGTGTAGTACACGTGTGTTTTATAGATAATGAGTGAAATGTCAGAGAGATATAATTTGTTAAAGCTAGCATGTGTCTTTGTATTCCAGTGGTAATGTGATCATAGAAACCAAGTTCTACGATGATGACCTCCATGTCAGTACTTCCAGGGTACGACTTTTCTACGTCTGACCTCTGCCCCCTCACTCCACCTTCCAAAATGCTGACATCCTGCCAAGGTCTGTAAATTACCAAGGTTAGCTACAACTTTCAGCAGTAAACAACTCATTGCTGACTTGGGATCAGCAACTTTGGTAAAATCTAGCTGTGATGCCACAGTGAAGTAAGCTTTGTTTTTGGTTATTCTCTTGTTTTGTGTTGACTTGAATACATCTTCTAGACCTTGGGAGAAAAGGGAAGAGGAGGAGAGAGAACTCTGTCATTTCCGGTTTTTCAGGATCACCTCTCTTCTATATTTTCTCCCCCAGACTGTTCCACTGTAAATACATGGCCACTGATCTCAAGTCAGCCAGGGAACCTCTCTGCAAAGACATGATTTTTCCTTTTTTTGTAATCTGCCCTCTCACTCCAAGGTTGCATTTACTCAGGAACAGGACATCAGACTTGTAACCTTCTGCGATTAGATTCTCTCTTTTCTGTCTAAAACACTGCTCTCCATGTGTCACTGTTTAAACACAGGCTGTCAGTGTGGAGGGAAATGATACAATCAAGAGGTCTTCATCATGATATAAGATTAGATAAGAGCTTTTATTGTCATTGTAGGTGCTACAACAAAATTTAGTAGGTAAACACAATACATAATTAAAAAGGAAATATAAAACACTAGATAACTCAGTGATAGTGTCCTCTCACTGTGTCCCATTCCAGAGGTTATCTTCTGTGAAGTTCCAATTTCCTGACAGTATATTATCATTGGTAAATAAGCCTGTCACATTCCAAAGGCCCAGAAAAAAATGCAACCTCCTTTTGTTTACATGGGAGTAACAAAATCCTTACAACCTGCGTAGTCTTTCAAGTCCACAAATCCCGAAATGCTTTGCACTGGTTAGTTTTTGTCTACTTATAAACTAGAAAAATAGTTCTGTTCTCAGAGAAATTGCAATAATACAGATTTATGTTGACATATTTACTTTTCTACACAATAACTTAACTCTTAAAGTTCCTATATGCGTTGTTAACAGTGGTCTCTGTGAGGCTAAGTATTGGAACTGTTAATGTATCCTGTCCTTTGAAAACCACAACTTTACAAGCAGCCTCTGAAGTAGGACACACATTGTACCCACCAAACCTCTCTCGATTTCTGTTACATGAACTAGTGTAGAACAGTGGTGTCAGTGTAGTGCAACAGAGGGCCAAGTGTCTGTTTTTATTCCAGTCCAGAACAAGAGCCACTAGTTTAACTGGTATGTTTCTTGAAATGAAAACCTGCGCACTGTTATCATGATGACATGTTTGAAACGCATTGTGTTTGAGGGACATTCATCAGCACACAAAATGGGGTTTTATTGCATTAATTTATGTGCTTGGACTTGACCTTCAGAGGTAAACTTACTTCAAATATTCAACTCATCTGATATAGACTGAAACATTCATCCTTTTTTCTCATTAGTTTACCTGTTTACAATTTTATCCCAGCTAGACCCAATGGTTGACAGCTGCTTAAGGTCTTTACCACGGCTTTGATCTGTACATTCTGGCTAGATTTTTAACTTTGACTTCCCATCCAATTCACTGTGTTCATGTCGTTCATTGTTTGTTTTTTTTAGCTGCTAACTGAGCTGTGTAAAATAGACTTGTGTTTTAATTTGACAAGAGTTGTGGATTAAAGTCATACAATGTTGTAATAACATGATGTGTGTGCAGTTTTTATTGTGTTTCTTCGAAATAAGGCAGTATGCATCTGTGTGTCAGTTGTTATGATCCCACAAAATCACTTAGAGTGACAAAAAATAATCTGTCATCTAGCAAAAACACAGCCATGTTCTGAAATCTGGCATTTAAAAAAGTACAACTGGCGACTGCTCACAATGGTTAGAATATTTGCTGAGCTTAGCATCATTGTGAAGTTAGTGAAGCTGAACTGCTACCTTTAAATTAATAATAAACATCAATATCAGTAAATATCAGTGTGATAGCATTATTATATTTTATTTAAGTTTCAGTGACCTGTTAGCTAATTGGTAAGGGTGCAAATGTTATCAGCAGTGAGTTCCTGATTTAAATTCCAGCTGCCCTTGACCCTCACTGCGTGTCGTTCCCCTGCTGTCTCTCTCCACTTTTCTCTTGCTGTTTACTGTCTAATACAGGTAAAAATGCCCCAAAAATATTCAAAAATTTAAAATGTAATGTTAATATTTGCACTGTTGTTGTTCACTGGTGTAATTCAGTATTCAATTCAATTCAATTTTATTTATTTAGCGCAGTTCACAACATACAATTGAAACCAGAAGTTTATTTACACTGTATAAAAAGACAAACTTTTTATCACATTTTCTGACATTAAATCAGACTAAACTTTTCCTGTTTTAGGTCTGTTAGGATTACCAAAATTGTTTGTATTTGCTAAATGCCAGAATAGTGAGAGATTTATTTTTTATTTATTTATTTATTTTTAGAGAATTTTGTATTACTTAATTCAAAGTCAGAAGTTTGCATACATTTCCTTAGTATTTGGTAGCATTGCCTACTGTATGACTTGAGTCAAATGTTTTGGATATCCTTCCACAAGCTTCTCACAATAGTTTGAAGAATTCTGGCACGTAACTCTTGACAGAACTGGTGGAACTGAGTCAGGTTTGTAAACTGCCTTGCTTGCGCACACGTTTTAGCTCTGCCAACAAACTTTCTACGGGATTGAAATCAGGGCTTTGTGATGGCCACTCCAAAACACTGACTAGTGTCGGAGAGTAGAGGACAGAAGCTCAGTACATCATTGGAATCCCCTGGCAGTCTCAAACCTATAGCAGCAAAACTAAGGGATAGTTCAGGTGATCCTAAGCAGCCCTAACTATAAGCTTTATCAAAGAGGAAAGTTGTAAGCCTAATCTTTAAAGTAGAGAGTGTGTCTGCCTCACAAACCCAAACGGGGAGCTGATTCCACAACAAAGGAGCTTGATAACTGAAGGCTCTGCCTCCCATTCTACTTCTGGAAACTCTGGGAACCACAAGTAAACCTGCAGTCTGAGAGCGAAGGGCTCTGTTTGGATAGTATGATACAATAAAATCTTTAAGAAAAGATTAAGCTTGGTGGGCGCCCCTATAGCACACTGAGTTGAGCAGGCGACCCTTGAAGAGGGAACAGGGGCTATAGTTCTCCAATGCAGCGGTTGTGGGTTTGACTCCCGCTCACGACTCTTTGCTGCAGGTCTCTCCCCATTCTTTTCCTACCTTTCCTGTCGATCTCTACTGCTCTGAAATAAAGGCAAGGTTATGTATGTCATGATTTCATTGTTGAAATGCAATAAATTACATTTTTGTACTCTTTGACAAGGTCACTGGGTCACACCCTCATCACCTTCCTATTCATTGATCAGGTGCCCCCACAAATAGTACAGTACCAAAGTTTAGGCAGTAAAAGTGAAGGATTGCTTCAAAAAAAAAAAAAAAAAAGTATTTTAATTTATAAGTAAATGTTCTATGAAATGTAATAAACAGACAAGAAATCATTCAGTTCCATGAATCAATCATTGATGATGCCTTGTACCTGTTTTTCAAGGTACTTGGCAACATATATATATATATATATATATATATATATATATATATATATAACAAAGGCCTTTATTATACATATCTATGCTTGCCAAGGAGATTGTTCAGCATCTTGGAGAACCTGCCACAGTTCTGTGGATTTAACAATAAGCTAGCAACAAAAAGCATCCCAGGAATTTGATTTCAAGCAGCCTCAATGTGACTGATCAAATTCAAATTATACACTGTGTTTGGTTATTAATTATTTTTTTTTGTTTAAGAACCTACAATTTGTTAATTTGCATTGTTTTGGGTAAAGTAAAAAGTCATGAAAATGAATGTAATGTAATGATCACCTGTCCCCAAATTGGACAAAATAATCTGCTTTTATTACCAGAATGATTTAAAATATTGCAACATGCTGCAACAATAAATAAGTTGAATGAACCATGTGACCATACCATAGACTGCACGGCTTAGCACCATCGCCTCGCAGCTAGAAGATCCTGGGTCGCGTCCTGGTTAGCTAGGATCTGTCTGTGTGGAGTTTATATGTTCTCCCTGTGCATCGTGTGTTCTCTGCTGGTTCTCTAGCTTCCTCCCACAACATGTCACTCAAACATGCTGAGGATAGCTGGTGATTCTAAATTGTCTGTAGGTGTGAATATGAGTGTACTTGTTTGGCGACCTGTCCAGGGTGTCCTCTGCTTTTGTCCAAGTGAAGATTAAGTGGTGTATAGATAATGGACAGATGGAAAGATATGAATGTTATATTGTGCTCAAATTTACATCACAGTTATACATTAAATTTCAGTAGTTCCGTTCTAATTGGATCTGTGCTGGTTCCTCCTCCATCCCTTTCCTTTCTTGCTCAGAGCCATGTTCACCTGTTTGCTCAGAGTGTAGTATTAAAAAATATTTTTTACTGTGGGGCTGTCACCATGTTGGGAATATACAGAAGAAAGAAAAGAAATGACAGTTACACAAACATAGGGCGAGTACAAGCAAATAAATCAGGAGTCAGTGGAATGAAACTGATAGTTGGACATTTGAGGACAGCTTGAGTCCAGAAGGTGGCAGTAATGCAACGCCAACAATGCTAAATGCTGTCAAAAACCTAGCAAAAAGAAGAAAAAACGTGGAACTACATGCCCCAGCAGGCTTTGCGGTCCACGAGGAGGTGGACTGTGTCGACCTTGGATTCTGACGTGCTGCAACATGGCGAGCAAGGAGCCGAATGTAAGTTTTGTAAATGTAAATCGTTTGTATTAATGAGACTATTAGGATGCTGACTGTGGCTGCTGTGTGGTGTGTTTATTCACTAGTAATATAAGAAAGCTCTGGTAACGGGTTAACTATTAGCGAGTTAAAAGGGGGTTAAAAAAAAAGAAAACGTTGGTGCGTGTTGGTCGGGTTAGTTTGGGTCAGCTAGCATGCTGCATTAGAAGACTGCCGTTATACCAACACATGTACCCTTAAACTGCACCAGCAGACGTAGTTATTTCCTAGGAGCCGACGGAGGCTAACGGCTGTTCATAGGTATGAGCAAAGTAAAAGGATTCATGGAAACGGCCTTGGCTTATTTATCCGTTCGGCTCAATGTGAGTTAAGGTAGTGAAGTCCAGTTCAGCGCCAGGTTACACCATCGGACAGCTCAGTGCATCATGGGAAGTCCTCCAGCAGGCTTGGCCGACAGCAGCATTGTTAAGGGATAGTTCAGGGTCACCTGTACAGCTCTGACTATACGCTTTATGGAGGAGGAAAGTTTAAATGTAGAGAGGGTGTTTGCCTCCTGAACCCAAACTAGAAGCTGTCTTCACAACAGAGGAGCTGATCACTGAAGGCTCTGCCTCCCATTCTATTTTAAAACCATATTTCAGTCTGCGGTCTGAGAGAAAGATACTCCATTGGAATAATGTGCTACTATGAGATTTTACAGATGCGATGGAGCTTGGTCATGAAGAGCTTGATTTGTGAAGAAAGCTATTTATAAATAGAATTTTACATTTCTATTTTTGGTTTTACGGAGAGCCACTGAAGAGAAACTAAAGTGGGAGAAATGTGATCTGTCTTGCTAGTTCCTGTCAGAACTCTGGCTGCAGCATTTTGGATCAGTTGGGTTTTTAAAAGAGTTATGACAACCTAATAGTCAGGAGTAAGTCCAGACATGATGAGATTACAGGAGGATGTGAAAGAGGCTCAGAACTGTGAAACCATATTACCTGGACAACAGGGCTGCATGATATTGGGAAAAAACTGCCTCATAAACAAACTGAAGAGTTCATTTACAAAAACAGATAACGCCATTTTTTTAGATTTTCAAAAAACTTATTATTTGTTGTTTGCTTGAGATAATATCAATCAAATTGAAGCTGAGTGGCTTTGACTCAGTAGAAGTGACATGACAAAACTAGCGATAACTTAAGTTTGATTGATATTGTCTGAGGTAGACGATGGAAAAGTGGGTTTTCTGAAGGTTTGTGAAGATGGAGTTATCTGTTTTTGCATATGAACTCTTTAGTTAGGAATTAAGTTGTCAGGATAAAATGTGCATAATAAGAGTAAATCTGTTTTGTGTGTGTGTGTGTTTGTTAAAACATTTCTCCAGTACTGATAGCAGAACCAATAATGTCTGAGCTTACTGATCCTACTGTAATAATTGGTTTAGCCCCAGGGCCTGTGTCCACTCAAGGCAGCCCCTTTGCTCCAGATTATCAATCTGAGGGGTAGCTTCTTCCTGAAATAATTAGTTGAGATTATAAAGAGATTCTCAATTATAAATGATGTCCTTTAAATGTCAAATAAATTGAAAGAACAAAAAACACCACCGCTGAAGAAACTGCAGCAAGAAAATATTTTATCTGTATTTTTGCCTGATATATTACTTAAAGGGTCATTCCTATCATTCAACTAATACATTTATTAATTGACTAACATTTTAGCATTACTTGTTAAGAACCTGTTCTTCCATGGGTATAATGATTGTCTTCTTTTCATTATCATACGTTCATGTCCACACACACAAACCCTGCAGCGCTTTGTCCAGCACCTGAGAGATCTGGCTGGCCGGATGTCTTCTGGTGGAAAAGGGGCGGGTTTAGGACTGAAACTGCTTGTTGGAGCTGGTGCCTTGGTTTACGCTGTTAAAGAAGCCACCTACACAGGTAAATACACTAATTTTCAAAACTTTGACACCATCCTTTCAAAATGTGATAGATGTAGGCCGGCGGTTTATGTCCCTAATGGATAATCCACAAAATGTATCAGCAGGTTAGAATTATTATTAATAGTTCACTCCTAAATAGCTGCAGAAGCTTAATTGTTAGAGAAGGCCATCCGTTAATCATGACATTTGTGCTTCAGTCCTTCAGTCTGTCTTTTAACATGTTCAAGTCCATGAGCAATACACTTCACCAAGAGGATGGTTCAGATATATCATTGTGCAGCTTCTAAAGAGCAGCACAAGGAAATGCTCAATATGTCTGTTGATTTTAAAGAAAACAAAAAAGAAAAAAGTTCTATTGTGTGATAATGTCAATACAGTGTGAATAGGTTAAATAGGTTCAATGTATAGAACACAAGCAGTTAAACCTTTTGTATTCAGAGTGTTTATACTCATTTTCCTAACTAAAGTTTTACAAATGTGTGTGTGTGCACGCGTGCAGTGGAGGGTGGTCACAGAGCCATCGTCTTCAATAGGATTGGAGGGATGCAGATGGACACTGTTCTGGCTGAGGGGCTGCACTTCAGGTATGATCAGCACATTCATATACTGACTTACTGACTTGCACTATGTGTGCTTAGCAGTCTCTTTTAATTAGTGTTACAGCCTCGTGTCATTTTATGATTGGATGCCAACCTTAAGAGTGTAGGTTTTGCTAATATATGAGCTGGTCTGAGTGCATGGCATTGGATTGGGAGTAGAGCGATGTATAGTGGCATAGAACAGAATTCCTTTTAATGTCATTGCAAATTTTGCTACAAAATTAATCTATAATATATATATTGCATTATAAACAAATGCAAGGTGCATAAGGTAGGAGCTGAGTTGCTAATAGGCACTCAGGTCCAGAAAGCTGGTGTCGGTGAATTCAGTTCTCTTATGGCTCTGGGGTCAAAGCTGTTTTTCAGTCTGTTTGGCCATGATTTTGATGGACCTAAAGCGTCTGCCTGAGGGTAGTTGGTCACACAGATGGTGTCCAGGATGTGACTGGTCCTTAGGAATGTTTACTGCTCTATTGGGGCAGCAAGAGCCGAGTAGGTCTTCCAAAGAAGGCAGTGAACAGCCAATGATCCTCTGGGTGTTGTTGATGATCCTCTGGAGGGCTGTCCTGTCCACTGCTGAGCAGCTGATGAACCACATAGTGATATGCCAGCATACTCAACAGAGCCACTAGCAGCTTTTCCTGCAGATTGTTTTTTCTTAGGTTCCTCAGGAAGTAGAGTCACTGCTGTACCTTCTTTACTGCTACTGTTGTGTTGGTAGTCCAGGAGAGTCTTCATTAATGTGTGTGCCCAGGAAGCTGAAGGCAGTGCACCTTTCCACACTGTCCCCATTGATGGTTAGCAGATGAAATGAAATGAAATGAAATGAAAAATACTTTATTCATCCCAGAAGGGAAATTCAATCAGATCAGGGTCTGCTCAGTTTCTTCGAAAGTCTATGATGATTTCTTTAGTTTTTGTGGAATTCAGGACCAGATTGTCAGTCTTTGGACTTCATCTCTGTAGGTGGACTTCTCTATTCCTGAGATAAGTCCAACCACAGTTAATGCATGGTATTGATGATGTTATTAGAGTTATGGATGTCAAGTCACAACTGTACTTGTACAGTTGTGACTTGACATTCTGACCCTTAACAATCCTAAAACCTTGCTATCTGACAGTTTTTTTTTAGGAAAAATGAACGGAACCTATAAAAAATAGCCTTAACATACCGACAGCCTTGGGTTCTGACTGCGACATGACATTTTGTGCCACAAATAAGGATAACGGTGTATTATCTGACTTAACAATCCGACAGATGTACTTACCTTTGATGTCAACCGACGGGCTTGTGCACAAGCTCACCGGTCAGTTAGGCGTGAAATCCAGCGATGCGTAGTGTTCTAACGATACACTAGTCCCACTCACTGAGTGAGTTTGCCCAACTAGTTAAGTTGGTTTGCATCCATTTGTTAGTCAACAACTCCACATGTGTGGAATACAGGAAGGATAGGTTTGGTGCTTTGAAGTTCTTCGAAGTATTAAACAGTGTGACATGTTTTGACACCTGAACAGTATGAACCTGTATATACTGTGGTTGTATCGGGCTCATTAATCATAGAAACAAACTGCTTTGATACTGTTACACGCCAGACATCATACGTAAAATTGCATCTACCAAGTTTTTACCAGCGTTCAAGAAGTTACAGACCACATCGTGCACTGTCATGGAGCGACCGATGTAGTTCATGACTAGTCTTTTATTTTGTTTCATATAAATCATAACAATATCATACATGTAGATAATTTATTATAACAACTATCAACAATAAATATTAACAACAAATTACCCTTTAAGCATCAAGCCCTCCTTGTATCTCCACCTCCGTCTTGACAATCCACAGCCTTGCTATCAGATATAAAAGAAGGTTTTACATTTAGTGTCGGATTATCAAGTCACAACTGTCCATATAATTAGATTTTTTTGTAAACATTGTGTTTTGCTTCTATTTTCTTTAATAAATGCTTTGTGTATATCTGCTTGTCTAATTCATGTTGTGTAAGTGTGAATGCTGCCAAACTCAACTATGTAATACTCAAAAATCCTCAGCCTAGCTATTGATAGCTCAGAGAAGTCGGCAGCTGTAGTCAATTGTAATCACTCATGAAAAATTAAGAGGCCAGGTGACTAAGAAAATTTGATTAACACAACTTTCTACATCACCAAAACTAATAATTCAAGTGGTTGTATGCATATTTTTGACTCAGCAGATTTTGTCATATTTTTTAAAAGATCCATAAAAAATCTCTGAAAGAACTAAAATGCATAATTGTTTTTTGTGACAGCTAATCAGGTTGGACAGGTACTTCTAATGATTATCATCAGATAGCAGGCCTATTATTGAAGTATTACTGTTGAAAATAAAGTTTTATCCCTGGTGCAGGTGAAGCATTTTGCTCTGTCTTTTTGTAAATCATTTTGACTACCTGCACTCTGACAATCAGAATCTGTGTTGCAGGATGCCATGGTTTCAGTACCCTATCATCTACGACATTAGAGCTAAACCCAGGAAAATCTCCTCTCTGACTGGTAGTAAAGGTCAGTAAAGGTAACAACACACACGATGTATATGTAATGACACTATGAATATGTAATAAATTCAAGTGCTTAGAGCAGCTGGTTCTGGCACACCTCAAATCCTGTCTTCACCCCCACCCTGGACTCCCATCAATTTGCCCACCGCAAAGACAGAAGTACAGAAGATGCCGTCTCCGTAGCGCCGCCCTTTGTCCTTTCATACCTGGACAATGTCAACACATACGCCAGAGTGCTGTTCATAGACTTCAGTTCAGTGTTTAACACTGTCATTTCCCCCAAGTTAATCACCAAACTCACAGACCTTGTCATCAGTGCATCCGTCTGCAAGTGGTTGCTGGACTTTCTGACCAACAGAATCCAATATGTTCAGCCACACCATCACCGCTCCTCCACTCTTACCTTAAACACTGGTGTACCACAAGGCTGTATGACGAGTCCATTCCTCTTCACTCATGACTGAAGAGCTGTGCTTGGTGCCAACATCATCATCAAGTTTGCAGATAACACGGCAGTGATAGGCCTCATCAAGGACAACGATGAGTCAGCCTACAGGGAGGAGGGGGACCACCTGGCTGCATGGTGCAACAAGAAAAACCTGCTGCTCAACACAAGAAGACCAAGGAGCTCATCGTGGACTTCAGGAGGAATGAAGACACACACACCCACCCACCCCCATTCATGTCAACAGTGAGACGGTGGAGCGTGTGAGCAATGTCAGATTCCTGGGGATAAACATCTCACAGGACCTTACCTGGACGACTAATTGTTTCAACCTGGTCAAGAAGGCTTACCAGCGCCTCTTTTTTTCCTGAGGACATCTTGGTGAACATTTATCACTGCACCATTGAGAGCATCCTAACCAACTGTATTGCAGTCTGGTATGGGAACTGCTCTGTCTCAGACCAGACACACTTACACTTACCAATCTCCCATCCTCCATCCCTCCCATATCCGTCCCCACACACATCTACCCATGACCTGAACTTATCCGTCTAAACATACCTCAGATACTGCATATAGTTTGTCTATAAATTGTATTAGAGATTAGACATACATTTATATCTACCATTGTACTATTACTATTACATTCATACTGCACTCTCTGTATGTAGTGTAAATCATTCCCATTGCACTATTGTAAATACTGTATAACTTTTCCCTTTTTTAATAAGCACAATTTGCACCACTGTACATATTGTTTATTGTTTTATCCATATTTATACACTTCTGTATATTATTACTGCTTATGCACTTCTGATTGGATGCAATCTGAATTTTGTTGCCTTATATTGTGACATCAACAATGACAATAAAGTTGAATCTAATGTAATGTAATCTAATAATTTTAAATCCGTATCTGTGTTTGTGTGTGCCTGCAGATCTGCAGATGGTGAATATAGCGGTACGGGTGTTGTCCAGACCCATGGCATCTAACTTGCCAGTCATGTACCAACAGCTGGGGAAGGACTACGATGAGAGAGTCCTGCCTTCTATTGTCAATGAGGTCCTCAAGTCTGTGGTGGCAAAGTTCAATGCCTCGCAGCTCATCACACAAAGAGCACAGGTACTGCTGCGACTGTAACTTTTTACACACGCTACTGAGATGATGAAGTGTTTCTCTTGCTCAGTTAATCAGTATTCATCAGTTAATCCAGATCAGTTATTGTAATTATCAACATTTTAAGCACTACCTGCCACAATCACAATGGACTATAAACCACAGCTTTTAGACTTGACATAGTGCAGTCCATACCTTTGTGATATTGTTAACTTGTGATTGAATGTTGTTGGTCTTTTTGTGTAGGTGTCACTGCTGGTGCGCCGGGAGCTTTTTGAGAGAGCCAAAGACTTCAACATCATTCTTGATGATGTGGCCATTACTGAGCTGAGCTTCAGCAGCCAGTACACTGCTGCTGTGGAGGCCAAGCAAGTTGGTAATCATCCCACACTCAGGCACCAGGATGGCTCACCACATGTAATCTTAGAGTTTTTGCTGCCAAGCTCCTTTAAATTACATATAACTGAAAGCTGTCGATTATCATGGTGAGTCAGATTTAAACCAGTGGGCTGCCAGTTTAGCACTCACTAGCAGTTGGTAAATTGTTAGGTGTAGAAGGATAAGCATTTTTTACCCCCATAGGTTAATAGAATATGTTTTTTTTTATTACTCACTGCCACAACTGCAAAAAATCAAAGTACATTAAGAATTTAAAGAATGAAGTAAATCACCAAGCTACGGTATTAGAAATGAAATGGCATGAAATGACTACATTTAAAACTGTAGCCTTCCAACTCCCAATGCATTTTAAATGGTGGCCAGACAATATCCAAACTTTAAAACAGAAAACATCAGCACAACAACAGGCATAAAATTAGATCACACTACATGTGTTATGTGCATCGCAAGTCTGACCCATAGTTCATTTATCAAAAGACCTGTTGCCTTGAGCAGTAGATAACAGGTAGCAATGTTGAATAGACAGAAAAGCCCTCCTATGGACTTGAGTCTCAATGGTTTTATGTAGAATCATGCATCTACTTGTCCGCAAATACTGTCTCATCAGCCTTATTATTCTAAAGTCTTACTAGTAAAATGTATGCATTCTCACAACAGGGGAATGTTGCTGAATTTTGTCTTAATGTATTAAAAGCATGTGAAAGTCGAGTCCTGCCAGTCTGAACACTAATGACAGCATTGCTACAGCGATCTCTGACAGTGAGCTCCCAGCCTGTGTTAACACAGCAGCTGCTCACTGCTTCTGTTTATTCTAGTTTCCAGTGAACGACCCTCAGATAGGTGGCAAAATCCATCAGTCCTAGGACAGGGGCCTGGGTTCGAATCTAGCCTGTGCCCCTTTGCTGCATGTTAACTCCCCTCTCTTTGCCCCCTATTCTGTCTCTCTATAAGTAATAATAAATTAATAATTAATGAATGAATAAAGGTATCTTAAATTAAGTTTGCTTAAATATACTGAAGAGTGCTCAGTTGAGTCCAGAATCAGCTTTTCATTGGCACTGGCTTCGGCGCTGAGAAGTAAGTTACTACTTTAGTCTAACTGAACCAACAAGTAATTACATAAGTTTATATGAAAAATGGGACTGCAAGGTGGCGCAGTTGTTAGCACTGTCGCCTCGCAGCAAGAAGGTCGCCAGTTCGTGTCCCGGTGAGGACACCGGGATCTTTCTGCGTGGAATTTGCATGTTCTCCCCGTGCAGCGTGGGTTCTCTCCGGGTTCTCCGGCTTCCTCCCACAAGTCCAAAAACATGTTGAGGTTAATTGGTGATTCTAAATTGTCCGTAGGTGTGAATGTGAGTGTGATTGGTTGTCTGTCTCTAAGTGTAGCCCTGTGATAGACTGGGGACCTGTCCAGGGTGTCCCCTGCCTTCACCCGAAGTCAGCTGGGATAGACTCCAGCCCCCCGTGACTTTCGTGAGGATTAAGCAGTGTATAGATAATGGATGGATGGAGATATGAAAAATACAATGACATAATCAAACCTGTTACTAATTATTGTCTATACGTTGAATCTTCATAATCAGCAGCAGGCAATCATCCCTTGAGATGTCAGTAATTGTTAGAGATATCATTAATAACATCTGGTAAACGTAACATGGCTGCATTGGTTTCTTTGTGAGCATTTGCTGTTGCTTTTCTCAGGAAAGAACTTCATTAGTAATAATGTGTGTTTCTGTATGTGTGTGCTTGTAGCTCAGCAAGAGGCTCAGAGGGCACAGTTCTATGTGGAGAAAGCCAAACAGGACCAGCGACAGAAAATCATCCAGGCTGAGGGAGAGGCTGAAGCTGCCAGAATGGTAACTAATTGAGACAACTAATCTGATTCTTGCTGTTGTGGTGGGTCTCCACCATAACCTTTGATCTTACTGAGAATTGAACTAATGTGAAATAACAGTTCCTCCGATTACCACTTTAACGTAAGCTTGAGGTTGACAGTGAAACAAACCTGGACAGTTTCATTGACTGTGAGGAATTTAAATCTCAGTTGAAAGTAATCATTACCTACTTTGCATTACTTTTTGGTCATGTTCTATAAAGGGTGTTATGTTGACTAGAAAAAATCTGTTTGTGTCAGCTGGGTCAAGCAGTGACTAAGAATCCTGGTTACCTGAAGCTGAGGAGAATCAGAGCAGCACAGAACATTGCAAAGACGGTCAGTACTGTTGTTTATCTGCTGTGACTTCTTTTGTCTGTTTTGACCTGATTTTCAATATCATACAGAAAGTTTCTGTGTGAATAGAATCACACAGCAGTTTCCCAGAGAGAGCAGCTAAATACAGAATTTGTGCAAACATTAGTGTTGATGTTGATGGCAACGACGGATGATAATCTCTGTGTCTGCTTCCAGGTGGCGTCATCTCAAAATAAGGTGTATCTTAATGCTGACAGTTTGGTCCTGAACCTACAAGACCAGACATTTTTTAACAAGTAGGTTTGCATACGCAATCTCTGTCACACACAAACATACATACACAGGCACACACTGGAATATCTTCCTTACTTGACAGGACATTACATTAACTTTAGCCTCTTTCACACACACACTCCTTTCCACTCTGATGACAGCTGCATGTGTCAGCTTCATGTCTGAATGAGAACCCTGCACACTTTTTCGTACTAGATCGGGCACAGTCGTCACTTTCAACAACGCACAAGTCTGAACTGCATGCATCACATTAACAGATAGGCATGTACAAACCACATACTTTGAGTTGTGTGAACTGATTTATGCAAGACTTTTTCCAAATTTCAGAACATCTTTTTCATTTATTTTGCTGTATAGTTTCACATGCATTACGAACTGAAATGTCCAAAAAATGCAATTTTACTGTGATGAAGACAAAGTATAACAAGCTGGATCAATGAGACTCAACAAGGATGAAGGTAATCCAGGAGGAACTAAAGTTTAGGTTTAGGTTGTTGCTTACAGCTGTTTGTAGAGGAGCTTTCTCTAAATGTATAAATACCTGCAGCATCAGAAAGCAGCAAAGAGATAGAGCTGCTATGTTATGCTACATAAGTGTAACTACAGTAATAACTTGATTACATTTCTTTTAAATGATCCCATACATGAAGACAGGATCAGGCAGGATCTACAACTAAATGACACTGTTTACTTCTTCACCCCAGATAGATTAAGGGTCAAATTTTTATAGTATTGATTTTTTTTTTTTTTTTTAACCAAGTTCCCAAAATGTTACTTGTATGGTAACTCCTGTCAACCTGATGACGAGATGGATAACTATATTTCCCTAAAAGAGAGACTCATTTGGTTGCCCTTGCAATTACAATTTAATTAAATACTCCAAAATGGATGTCTTTAAAATAACGTGTGGTCTGAGCACTCCGTCCAGCTCCAAATCTATCTCTACTGAACCAGATCAGTTTTAAAAGGAGCTTTTAAAAAAATGTATTTATGCATTTATTTTTACTCGAGTGATGGAATTTAAGCATCACCTACCTTGTGTAGCAGTGTAGGACTGCTGGCTAATGAAATCTTTTGTTTTTTTGTTTTTCTTAGCTTGTCACTGGGCAAAAAGAAGTGATGAAGAGGACATGAACTGAGGCAGTACAACTGTCAATTTCATCAACTTTATAAATAGTCTAGGTTTTGCTTGACATTGAAAATCAGCTTACATGACTGAACAAGTGTGACTGTGGACAAAGAAGAAATATATTTTTGTTTTAATTTTGTTTTCTATTTCTCACACACACATTTGTGAGTGACTTGTATTAATTTATTCAATCAATTACTTTAATAGGAGCAAAACTGCCATTTCAACACCACATTGAATAAATAAGTAGCAAATTTGTCACAAATTGAAGAATTGGCACATATCCATTTTTATTTTATTTTTTTTCAGTTTTTTGAGAAAAGTAATGCAACAGTGATTTTGAATAAATTTAGAACACCACTGCCCCTGTCAGAAGGACCTGGTAGGCCCAAATTGTCCGAGCATGAGACATCGCTGCAGCACTATGCTCAGTCAAGCTCAATGGTAGATTTCACTGCTGTATCGTTACCTCAATTTGGCTGCCAGTCTTTTCTCTGATCTACATTTGGGGTCGACCAATTATCAGATCCAGTGTTTAGCTTTTTTCCAATTGTCGGTATTGTTGTTTTTTTAACTCCTGCTGAAATAAGTTTAGAAGCTAAAAAAATTAACTTCTTTCTCTGTGGTACAGCCACTTCTATCTGTGCTCACTCAAGCAGTTTCCCACCCAAAGTACAATGTGATTGATTACACATCACGCGTGATAGTTAATCAACACTCATGGATAAATTGTGTAAAAAATCTCTTTTCGTTAAACATGTGAAACATGAATAAACATGACAACAAAGTTTTGTGTTGGACTTTGTATTATTCTAAATTTTGACATCAAGATTTTCAATTTAGTGAAAGTTTATATCCATTCCAAATATCAGTTATTGGTCTTGGTCTAATAATCCACACCTGGTCTGAAAAGCTGCATCAGTTGACCCCTACTCTGCATACATTTCATCAAAAATGTTCCAGTCTCCGTCCTAGTAGTCCTCACAGTTACAACAGGAATGTTTGTCAGGGCTCCATATCTCCACCCAGGTGGAGCTGATGAAAGAAATGTTTGGTGACATGTCTTTCAATAAACGTTTATTATATGTACACTTTCTTGGGTCATTCCTATATCTTCGTAGTTGATTTTATTGAATGAAACTTGCAACTGCTATGTTAGATTGTGTTAAATTTTGCACTAAAAATCACTTTCAACTGATTATACACGAGTTCCATATAAGGTGTGAACATTGTAAAGTCAAAAACGGTATGTTGTCTATTGTACCACTGTTCAGTTCCCGTTTCCATATCCATATGAACACAATTCATGCGCATATATTCCCAGAGGACTGTGCTTATTCTCCAGAACTGCAGAGCTCCAGTGCACATTAGTAGAACATTGCTGGGGGAACCCTATAAAGTTTTCTTATTGTGTGTGTGTGTCATTGAACCTTCACACATAAATGCACTTCTTTGCTTGTAAAGTGTTTGCAAATGCTGGTTTTTTATTTTATGCATCATTTTTACATTTTTAATCCATATTTGCTGAATGATAATCAATTTACATTTTTCAAAATTGGTTCAGTTAAGTCATTTTCAGTAGTCCAAATGGATTTGCACATTGATAAGAAATGAGTTGAAGATGCCTGGAACTGTACATGGAAATGTGCAAATACAAGAGGCTGGTTTTTAGAATAAGTGGTTGTGCTGTAGTACCTGTGTTTTCTGCCTTTTATTAAATGTGCTACAACATGGTGCACTAGTGGTAAAACTTTTTAGATTGTGAACTTTTACCGATGCAATTAAGTGTGTTCCCAAAACCAAACTAAATTGAACATGAACATGAGTACATATTACTGGTCATCATAGAGCATCATCTGCCTGCTTCTTCTCACGATGCCTGATGTTTCTCTGTTCTTTTTTTCTTCTTGCTTGAGACATATTGTCACAGCTGAGGAACTACAGCCAATTCCACTGGAGGAATCCCTCTGCCAGGACTGTCGCCTGTCACCACCAGACTTAGAGAGCTCAGCACTCATAGCAGTGCAGGTGTAACTAATAAAAAGAATGATAGGGGAATTCCCACTGGTTACTTCCGTTTAGGGTTCTAGTATTGTGCATGCTTACTCACTGTCACACTGTTGTGGATAAGTAGGTCTCTTGAATAGAGCTGTGGTTGAAGGGTGGACATCTTGCTGACAAATTTGGAAAGTGGTAGACTCGTGACTTGAGGACAACAACAACAGGTATAACATTATCATGTGTGGTATAAGGAGGAAGGTTGAACTACTGAGCTTCAGTTTTACTATATAGCTGTTATACAGTTAGTGTCAGTAAAGACAAGACTGCTGCAGGTCAGATGTCAAATAGCCAATAAGCCAAATTTTTATACATGAAAGTTGAATTTTACATCTGTATGCTATGACCAGCTCCTGCAGTGCCCATGTGCAACTATCCATGTTACTGACAAGAGCCATTGTCATCTATTTCATTTGGTGACCTAGGATTGGTGATAATTGTAAATTTGGTTTGGAGATTTGTAGATGACAACTATGTATGTAGCTATCAATTATTACAGGTAGCTGAAGGTAGTGTGCTTTCTAGAGTAGAGTGCTTTCCAAGCACTCGTCTGCTGCTGAGGGCAGTGTCGTGGAAGAACTACTGTCATCCTCGCAAATTTACAGAGTGAGTCCTGCAGTAGGGCTGCAAGGTGGAGTGGTGGTTAGCACCATTGCCTCGGAGCAAGAAGGTCGCCGCTTCACATCCCGGTGAGGACATCTGGGATCTTTCTGCATGGAGTTTGCATGTTCTTCCTGTGCAGTGTGGGTTCTCTCCAGGTTCTCTGGCTTCCTCCCACAAGTCCAAAAACACATTGAGGTTAATTGGTGATTCTAATTTGTTCGTAGGTGTGAATGTGAGTGTGCTTGGTTGCACAACCTGTCCAAGGTGTCCCCTGCCTTCGCCCTAAGTCGGCTGGGATAGGCTCCAGCCCTAGTGAGGATTAAGCGGTGTATGGATATGGATGGATGGATGGTGTAAATGTGTGAAAAGTCTGTCTTGGTCTTCAGTCAGCTGAACAGAAATAGCACACATATTATCAACATGTATTCTGTAATCAAACGGTCATTGGAAGAATGCAATGTCATAACACCCACAAAGACATGAGAAGTGAAATCCAAATTTTGGCATCATTTTATTTTTGCATTATGTCATCATTTCTTGAGCTTCAGGGAGAGAAATTCTCTGCTGATAAGCATATAGGTTTTCTGCAGATGTCTTGGAATAGAGCAGTAAACAGTCAGTTCTGACCACTTTCAGTCCATCTGGTGTTGAAATTAGACTCCATCTTAATGCTAACATTAAATCTCTCCCTAATAGACTGATTGGGCAATCATGAGAAGCCAGTAGGCCATGTTTAATGAATACAGCGCCGTCTTGGTCAGTGCAGACACATGACATAGGTACGGTAAAACATTCCTTTACTGCTAGACCTGACACACCTTGTGAATACACAAAATCCCCACTCAGTTTGGTATGTTTCAGATCTTTCTGATCACAGAGTGTGTGGTGCCAGAGTCAGCAAGAAAAAAAATATTTCCCATCATTAACAGTACGTGTAACATTTTCTTAAAAGCAGCCTGTTTCTCGGTGTTAAAAATGTGTTTTATAGCAAAGTGAATTATCTTGTATTGTTTGGATGTGATAGCAGACTTTTCTTTGTTGCATTTAGCAGAGCATGGTGTCACAGTGTGGAAGTCTGTGTGTGTTGGTGGAAAGTGGTATCAACTAAAAAGTCATTGAAGTGTGCAGTGACAGATAAACAAAACAAAACAAACAGCATTCTTTAAACCCTTTTTCAGCTGAAATACACTGATGTTTCCTAAGTTGGCTTTCAATCTAATTTACATATATGTAAGAAGGGTCCCAAATTCATACCCTTTTCCCCTTTGGCTTATCTCCTCACATTTCCTTTGCTAAACAAGAAAATGGCAAACATCGGAAACATTTGCACCTGTGCTGTAGTTAGCTGAACCAAGCAAAATATTTCATTGCAAGATACTCACGTTTACATTCACCTTTCCACCATTGTTTTTCATACTGGCTGTCAGAGCTGGAAAAAACAGGTGAGATGCAATGTAATGGGTCATGCTGCATGTGCCGTCTGTGTAAAGGAAGTGCTTCTCTTTGCTTGAGTTTAAAAAAAAAGCTCTTTTCCCGGGCACTTTTTTTTGTTCGCCTTTTGGAGGTTGTTCAGGTTTTTCTTTCCTTCCTTTTTTTTTCCCTTGTTTATTCTTCGTTTGGTTGGGGGGGGGTTGGGGCTTTTCTTGGCGACTTTGGGGGGAGGGCGGGGGCCCCCTTGGAAGGTTTTTCGTTTTTTTGCGGGGTTCCCCGGGGGGCCGGCCACCCAGGCCCCCCGGTTTTTTGGGGGGAAGATCATGCAAATTCCATGCATAAAGATCCTCGGCGTCCTAAGTTGGATGCGATCCAGGGATCTTCTAAACACCGAGCCGCCTTGAAGATCAGGGTCATACTGTACAAAAAATGTAAAAGAAAAAAAAAGAAAAAAAAGAGAGGTTGGCTTGAGGTCAACATGTTTAATTACCCCAATATCCTCAGATTGATTCAGTTCAATCTCCCAATTTGGACATCAAATCTTATCCCCCATCTCCCACCCAAAAAAACCAAATTGGGAAAGTGATCAGACAAGAGAAATGCATGTTTAAAAATTGTGCTTGCATCCTCTGTGCATCTGAATGTTACAGGAAGTGTAGAGACCCAAGCACGGGCAGAAAGACACAGCAGACTCGAGTAAGTTCAAACAGTTTAATCACATAAGCACAATATACCCTACAGGATTGTGGGAGAAATGGGGTGAGGATGACACTTGCTGGAAGATCGAGGAATTGCACCAAGAACTGGCACACAAAGAATCTACGAAAACCATGAAATGTCTTAATCACAAGATATTAAGACAGTCAGAGCAACTGAACTAACCACGCCCAGGTACTACCAGACTAGTAAAGTTTCATGGGGACACAGGAATTTCCTCCAAGCGCACAAAATGCGAAACATGGAAACCAAATCACTGTGCAGAACATGCACTCAAGAGGCGCGGCAAACTAATCACAACGGGTAACAATCATCACATAAGGTGATGCAGGAATACTCACAATCAGGATACTAATTTACAAGTTAAGCAGAAGCAAGAAGTAATCTACACAACAACAATCTGAACTCTACGCACCAAAACAAAACTGCTTTGCTAACAGACTAGTGGAAGAGAGTGAGCAGAGAATACAAGCAGAGGAGGTCTGTGGCGTGACAGGAGGGTTTCTGGGAGTGTGGGTCTTCACAGGACAGCAGGCTCAGAGAGGGATGGCAGGCAGGAATCCAGCAGGTGTGGATGGTATTCAGCGTGAGGCAGAAATCACTAGACAAGGAAAACAGCAGTTAATCAGAGCAGAGACATGAGAGCACAACTTAGCCGAGTTGACTTACTGGTTGCAGTAGAACAGTCTCGCATCAAATGGTGAGCGAAGCCCTACTTTTATGGCAGGTGGAGATCAGTGAACAGGTGAGCCACTCCCCGTCACACGTGTCTGCACTCAGCTGAGTGCAGGATGAAAGGGAAAGGAGGACTACCAGCTAAGTGGTGGCTGAGGTGGAGGGCATGACACTGAGCGGGACAAATAAAATGTCACCTGACGCTCCCAGTGGAGTTCACATGATTGCCCATGATTTTTGGAGAAGTTGAAAATGCAAATTTCTAATGTGTATAAAAAGCTTTTTATTTGTATTTATTTATTTATTTGTTATTTATTTATTTTTCTTTCGTAACACTTCTAACTCATAACTCACAGTACTATCAAGAGGAAGGCTACATTTCTTTTCAAGATATGAAATCACTTCATTTACCAGTATCAGTGTGGACTGTATGTCAGTATTGGAATGTGGTCATGTGGGTGTGGTACCGTCAACCTCAGGCGTCGAGTGAATCAGAGTAGCCACTGGTCTTCCCCGGCCCCCCTCATCATCTCAGTCTGCCTAGTGAAAGCCTGAGTTCTGTTGTTCTGGACAGTCTTGCTCCCAATGTCTTCTTTTGTTACAGTTG